CCTTTCCTGACTAGCCAACCTAAGGTAGCCTTCATCAGTTACTCTTTAATACTCTGCTTCATTTTATCATTATCTGAAATGATCTTGTCCATTTATTTATTAATTAAAAAAAATGTCTGTCTCATCCTGCCGCCCTCCTCTGCCCTCATACATACGCTGCCTGAGAACAGGGACCTTGGCTGTCTTGTTTACTACTGTATCCTCAGCACACGGTACACTGTATTCAATGATTAGTTTCTGAATAAATTATAAGAAAAGGAAATTAACAGATGTGAGAATATGACATATTTTGACTGCAACAGATCACTTTGGAAAATGTAGGTACACGGGACCCATTCATATTTCAGTGTGGTCTTTTGGTTGAGAGCATGGAATCAGATGGTCTGGCTGTACTATTTCCTAGCTTGATTATAACTCTGGATAAATTACCTAATCTCTCTGTACCTTGTTTTCTCATCTGTAAAATGAGAAAAAAGTAATTACCGCATAGGGTTGTGGTAAGGATTAAAGAGATAATGAATGTAGAGTATTGAGAACAGTGTGGGGCCCATAGTAAGTGTTCAATAAACACTGTACTATTTCTACATATGTCCAATCACGAGTCCCAGGGGGGGACCTGCAGGGACCTCGGTGAAGGATGGAGCACCTCTTCTTCATGACAGGAACGCTGGCAGAAGTATAGCACTCTGTTGTAAAGAGATCAATGACCAAATGGAACCTTAGAACTAGGTGGTCTGAGTGACTACTGGGAGAAGGGGTGCTGACTCATAAGGCTTGGGTACTCAGGGATGGCAGGAGCAAGGCTAGTAAATGGTGCAGATTACTATTCAAAGACGTGAGGCTACTGACTGTAGATAAACATTCTCATGGTTCCAGAGATGTATGCAGGCGCACTGGGCCCATTTAGAGTATAGGGTAGGACAGTCATGAGTGTTTTACACTACCTGTTTACATACTGAAAAGACAGAGTGAGCCTTGCATTTCTGCCCTTGAATAATTTCTCTTTCAGCCTATTTCTTTTATTAATCATTAGTTAACAGCTTCCATTAGTTTTGTGCCTATTATCATTCTGGGATATTTACTTCAGAAGAAAAAAAAATAATTTCAGAATAAAGGGCAGATGACCCAGCGTTTGAAATATTAACTCCTCGACCTCAAACAAAATAGCTATCTCCACAGCTAAGAGTCATACCTATCAGCAATAACTGACAAAAGGAAGAGTAGCTTTTTATTCACAGATTCTAGGACAAGAACTTATTTTAAAAAATGCCAAACTGGATCTAGCCAATGGCTCATACCATCAGCATAGAATTTGGTCCTTGATGGTCACTCTCAAGGAAGTTGTGTTACTCACTGAGTCTGATAATTGTCCCTCTCGATGTCAGTCTTAGATTGAAATGTCCTAGCATCAGCTCTTTAGTTTAATGTCATATATTCTTCCACCTGTCCCATCTTTTCTAAACGGACCTTTTTCAATTAACTTGTAACTTCATCAGTTTTCTCAAATAAGAAAAGATCCGTGAAAGAAACTTGATTGGTATTAAACTCAACATATATTAAGGTGTAAACGGCACTTAGAAATAATCATGTACTGTTTTTCAGACCACGTGCATTCTGGACATGCAGCCCTCTGCTGAGTAGCTCTTCTTAAAGAGACAATAACTGCCAATTTGACAATACAGCTTCTAATGAGATTTGCCAATATCATAACTTCTTATGATATTTGCCAATACCAGTCATCAATTATGATCAATTACCAAATTTGTCAAACTTCTAATGAATAGAAGTTTACAGATTTTTATTGAAAGCTTTTGCCAATAATTTTGAAAGATAACCACTTTTGCTGATGGTAACGTACAAAAATGATGACTTTTACAGAGCCCTCTTTACTTTCTAAGCACTTGATTACATATGACTTCATTTTACTTTATAACCACCTTATGGGATACATAGAATCTGGTGTGAGGTTTCCATTTTGCAAATAAAAGAACACGTACAGAGAGGTTAAGTGATTTCTCAAAATCACACAGCTGATTAACGACAGGGCCAGATGATGGGGTTGTTCTCTCTTTCTCCAGTTGAGAACATCAGACAATAGTTCCTAGACTTTGTGGACAAGTAAAATTTCAAAAAACATTTCATGGGGCCCAAAATAGTGTTGTCAATTTTGTTCTTTTTCCAGGTATAAAAATAAATAAATATATAACTTCTACCTACTATTTCTATCATATCATAAAACTATCCTTTCTTTTATCACCCCAAAATAGGAAAAACATAATCTTAGAAAAAAATGTAGTCCTTTAAATTAATAAAATTTGCTTTATGAGAAAGTCATTACTTTCTTTTTTTTTTTTTTTATCTCATTTTGCTGTATACTGGTGTAAACTCTTGTTGTGGTTTAGAACTAGTTCTCAGACCAATAGTTGGGAACCATTTCTCTTTTTTGTGCTATTTCAAAAGTCACACTAACTCCTCTACATCTTCTCCGCCTTGCATTCCATAGTCTTTCAGAAGAAGAAACCAATGAGTACTAAAAGTTTTTCCTTTTGAAAGATGCTATTCCTCTAGTGCTACTATAACAAAAGATTAATATCATAAACTTACATCATAATCAAAACACAGAGCTGTTGATTGACTAGACATGACTAGGCTGAGGGTTAGCAGAGAAGCAGGAAATGTAGAAGCAACACGGTGCCCATCACGATTACTTTCGTTTCCACATTACTTCAATAAGAATCAAGGGCAGGAAAAATGCTTTATGCCTCCCTTCTCATTTCTCAATCCACTTTCAAACTCATCCATGGAAATGAATTATTGTGAATACTCCTGTCTAGGCAGAGACTGCGTGTGCCACATTTGTCTTTACCTCCACAACGCCCACCCTTACTCCTCCTCCCAGACTTGGTTTTATAGTCTGTAAGAAGTTCCCAAGCCTTATATGAAAAATAAGTACCTAATTTTATAAAATTTTATAGTTAATCATTGTATTCTACTAAAACTTAGGCTGGTTTTTGGGACACTCTTAAATTGACATTTTCCATGTTGACTGTATTCATAGTTTGATGTGGATGTTATATTTTAACATACACCAAAAGGAATAACTACCAGATCCCATTCAATCTTATAACCTTGATCAATGTATGATCCTCCAGTATCTGTGATCTTCTTTGATGACTTCCTTCAGCTTTGGGAGGGAGCTACATGAATGGTGTAGTGTAAGAGAAAAGGCAGCCCAATCAGCCAAATTAAGCCCTGTGATTGGTGTCACAGCAAGAACATCCCCAACCCAACCCAGTCCCACGTGGAAAGATGCTCACCAATGGTATGTTTTGTCAAAGAAGGTTCCTGGATGATGGTCATGTTCAATAGGTATACTGTTACATTCCCCAAGGATGTCAAAGTAACACTTTTTTTAAAAGTCCTTAAATAGATACAAATTTTAATCACAATAAAAAAATTTTTCTATGAGATAGAGAAAGATAAATGCCTGTATATCATCAAATGACTATACATTAATAATAATATTTATATTTGTATAGTGTTTTATGGTGTATAAAACATTTTAATATATGCCATCATTTCTTAGGAATATTCTGAGACAGGCAGTGTTATTTCCATTTTATTGAAGAAGAAACTGAGACTCAGTTATGTGATTTGCTCAAGGTCACACAAACAAGAGCTAGAACCTGAGCCTGGTCCTTTGACCTCATGTTCAGGGCTCTTTCCATTATTCACAGGGTCAGTCACTTCTAAAGGCGAGCCCAACGATAAAAAGAACAAATGGAAGCTGGCTTTTATTCCAATCAGGGCAGAAAGCCAATCGATCAATAACCTCAGAAAGAAGGGTTGCCCATACTATCAAAAAATCTGGAGCGTTTATGGTTTTCTTCAGTTTTCTCATCATTACTGTAATACCAATGCCATTTGTGTTCTTCCTATTCAGTTCCTTAGAATTTATCACATAAGCCAGTCAATATAGTATACCCATGAGCCCAGGGCAAGAAAAAACACTGGCCATTCACAGAAGAAATTATTTGGAATCCTTCTCATTATACCCGCTCTTCCAAAAATAAACATTTTTGTGATGCTAAATTTAAAAAAATCAATAGAAATGTTGTTAACTATATATTTTTCGGTTTACATACTGGGCAAGAACTATCCAAAATATGTAAAATAGACTATATACAATCTATACTTTGCAAAACAAAACAAAAAAGATAATTAAATAATAAGAAACTAATGACTACAAAGGGGTTAATGGACATTTATTTACTGTGTAAAAATAAAGAGTCATTGCATGAAACATATACAACGAAAAAGCTTGTCTATTTTAAGAAGACGAAACTTAGAAGTCAAATTAGGGCTGTGTTTTCTGAAATTAATAACTAGTGTTAATTCAAACCAAAAGTTTGGACAGCATTAACTAGTGCTAATAAGATTACCATGAACATTAGCCTTGCTTCATACTATGACTTTTTTTTCCCCTGTATCTGATTATAGGTTCTGTTCAGGATTTAAAAAAAAACAAAAAATACAGGATCATTTCCAATACTAGGACAAATAAGCAAGGTAAACTAGGTAGTGTTACCTCTTTGCCCCTCGTTCACATCATTTAGACTGATTAAAATGTTAATTTTTACATATGTGAATAAACATAAAGGAGCAAACAACTGCAGACTGCACTGTGTGCTAGCAATCATTGCGGGTGGGTAAACTGACAACATGTAACTCCATATTAAGACAAATGTAGAATTTAGACAAAGTATTCCATCTCTTTTCAGATGTATACTTTTAAACCTCAGGAACTGTTTTCAGTAGATGTCATGCCTTTTAACTTGAAAAAAGATAAGCGCAAATAAGCTCCCAATTGTCTCCCCAATATGTAAACCACATCTTGGGCTGCTGTCTCTGCTACTCCTTTGAAGTATCCCTGAAATGTCATGTGTTGTGAAGACTGCTGTGCATAAGCAAGACAATTTGCTCACTCTCAGAATTCTTACCGGTTTCCACTGCTATTTGGTATCCAGCCTCTAGTCTCCGAGATGACCTTTCCAGCCTCTCTGTGTTATCGAGCAGATGTGCCCTCTGAAAAAGAAAAAGAGAAAAAAATCAGACAGCCGTCTACAATGTTCTTTTTTTGCCTTAAAAAAATAATGCTTTTGTATGCCCTAACATGTCTAGGGGGCGAGTCACAACCCATTACAGATAATTTTTAGCAAATCTTCCATTATAGGAACCACTTCAATGGACAGATTTCCAATCAATCAATTGTGTATGGACCATCCACTGTTTTGTTTTAAAAGGCAAACTCACATGTGGCCACAATGAATCTCACTCCAAAACACTGAGAAATGCACGAAGAACAGAGCCAACTGGACCTTTCCTGTTTCAGCAGAGGCAGATGTATGAGATACTTGCATAGATCTATGATCCCTATTTTGTATTTATTTTTTACAAAATATAATCATTTAAAAAACTTATTTGTTCCATTGATTCCTGCAGATAGTAATTTTTAAATAGGAACTTTATTTTTAAGAGAATGCCCCTCAATTTTGGATGTGCAGCAAGATTCCATATAGAACAACATATGCTACTAAAACAGAATACTAAATAGCAGTTCTGGTTTTAAGACAACTCGGGGCAACCACCAAGAAACAAGAGACACATGTTTCTCCATGCACACAGATGTACAAAATGGTGACTTTATTCCCAAATATATGGCACTAGACTGAAGGTGAACTTTTGACACACAGTGCTTTTGACTGTGAACTAATATTATAATAATTATATATACTCTTTTACATTATATTTGATGGGGAAATTAGAGAATTTTTCTGAAATTCTCAGCTTCTAAACTCTCTTTTCTACATTGAGCCTGGGTTTTTTTAACCATAATGATTGTACACTAGATCAAATCAGGTTGACAAACAGATTTATAAGCTAATCATGGCTGTGAATGGGTAAGAATATGTGCATGCACATGACATGAAAATGTGTGTCTGTATAGATGCATGTATGTCAGCATACTTAGAAATACATAAATATGCGTATCTGTATATTTGTGTGTGTGTACATGCATACATGTATTTGTATAAATTAGTACCTTTCCCCTTCAAATCAGTTTTGGTCAAAAAGAAAGAAAAAATGCAACCACAACTCCTACAACTTTGTGTTGTTGACAGATGTCATTTAAAATTGAAGAAATGCTTTCTAATAATAAAAAAGGAGGTGCCACACATATTATCTGAGTGGCTGTCGAGCGAAACGATCTACCTTGCTCTAATGAGCCCCCATGGATCTTGGAGATGCAAGCTGTATTGACATGCACACTTAAGCTAATACACCTAGACCAGTGCCTCCAAGCTCTAGCAGCCAGGGATGCTGACAGAACATCTCGCTTCCATCTTCAAAGAAAGGAAGTGATTAGTATGTTATCATTACCATTCAAAACGTGATTTCCTTATTCCCTCCCGGCATAGGTGACACATCTGAGATGCGGCCAGACGTTGGAGGCAGCTAAAGCCACATCAAAGCTTTCCTTGAAATTTTTTTTTGGGGGAAGAGCTGGGGTGGGGAGGGAGAATCATTAAAACAATGCATTTAGAAAAGAGAGATAGGACCTGATGTGAAGGTCAGGAAAGCTGCAACAACAGTCTATAATAATTAATAGAGTTGTCTAATATACAGCGGAGAAATTAAGAGAAAAACTGCCCCTCCCTCTGCAAAAAAAAAAAAAAAAAAAAAACCTAAATAAATAAAAGGGAGGAAGGAAGGAAAGCTTATACCATGAAAATGCAAAATCACTAAAGGCTGTAACTGAAAAAAAGAAGCATTAATGACTATTTTAAAATAAAATTAAGCACTTTACTCAGCTTGTCAAAAATAGCTTTCTTACTCCTAATTCTCCCTACATGCAGGTTTTGGGAGTAGGAATTGCTCTTCTCTTCTCTGCATATTGTTTTCTACCTTAACAAAGGACTTAATTTCAAACTGGTGATTGTCTAAAAAGATATAAAAAGATTTGCGAAATCAAGAGTAAATCTGAATTTTAATCCAGAATAAGAGAACAAAGATTTTTGCTTCATTTGCATATTATATAAAATCCCTAAATTAAAAGAAAACATTTAGCTACTACAGATAAAAAAAAAAAATCAAAGGTCAATATTGAAAACTGACAGTCTATTATATGATAATATATCATGTAGGAAACAAAGCATGTAAATGTATAATGATTTTGGGGATTCTACGACAGTGAGCCAATTCAGATTATTCAGTGTACGGCTTTAATGGGAAGCAAAATTTCTAAAAGAACTTTTTTAAAAAAATGCATATTCCTAAATACGGGGAGTAATTCTTCCTCAGGACAGTTCAATTTTACCAGAGTAAATCTGCACACAAGAGGACTATCAGTTTACCAGCAGCCTTCCAGCGGGACCTCACTTTGTATTTTGGAACCTCTTAACTTAAGTCAAACTAAAATCAAGTTCTTATAACAGCTGTGCTATTTACATTGTTCCGTTAGTTGTGCATTGCCCTGGTCTCTGAAAATGAAAGGAAACACACTATAGTAGCAGCTGATGCTTTCAACTTGCCCCCACACTCCATCCCCAACTCATTCTCTCACCCTCTTCTCAGCCCTTTTCAAAGCAGGTAAGTGAAGCTGGGCAGGAGCTTCAGACAGAGCTCAGCTTGTGTGAGGAGCTGTGCAATGTGGAGAGCTGGAGACGCAGGATTCAAACGGAGAGCTCGGCACAGCCAACACCAGTACCGCTCCCTGTGCTCTACCAGTCTGCCTCCAAGCATGCCCCATTTCCAGAAGTGAGCCCGAAAAGCACATCACAAGGAAGGGATGGGGCATGCTTTGTTTCCAAACACAACAAAATGTCCTATTTCAAACCAGATGAGTGCCTGTCTTCTTAGGCTAAGTACAAGAAAGAAATCTGGGGTACATTCCCTGTATCACTACTATTAGAATCCTGGCTGAGAAACAATCACTTCTGAACAAACCATATATTAATGCAGTGTCATCACCGTAACCCATTCTATAAATATCAATGCTACATCCATATTAAAGGCTGTTAAAAGAATATCTCAGAGTATATTATTCTATTAGTTGAATGATCTAATTCTTCCAAGTACAATTCCATTACAGGTTACAGTAACATGCATTCCAGAAGCATAACTGATGAAACTGTTTGCTATAGGCACAACAAAAGAAATAAGCCATAACACAATGATAAAACGTATTTTAAAAGAAATGCAGATGTGATGTTTTCAGCTTTTAGAATTAAGATTTCTAAGTCCACACAATTCAGCTTAACAAAAATAGATCTTATGTCAAAAATGCTGAATGTAACAACACACAAGATTTTATTAGTTATATTCATTGCTAAATTCAGGGGCAAGAGCTTCATGTAGTTTCTTCATAAAAGAGGTTTTCAAGCCTATTGTTAGCTCCATTAACATTTGAAATTTCAGATTCTTCACGTAAGCATGAGCATATGCAAATACATACAAGCAGATATTATGTCTTGCAGAAAAATAATGTTGATATATCACTCACTTTAAGAATAATCTTATACATCAAAACTGCAATTGATTATATTCATTTAGTATATACATCTGCTTAGATGTAGGGAAGAGAAAAAACACAAAAAGATTGGAGGGTGAGGGTTCTGGGTATTTTCGCCCTTCATTTTATACATCATTATTACTTTTACTAAGAGAAGGCATCACTAAAGCATCTTAAATCAGAAAAGTCGTTGAAAACCTCTATCTACAAACCTCTAGATTTCACATCACCTAGAGAATGATGACATACTGATAAAAAAACTTCTGGGAAAATCTCAATCACTGCAGTCAAGCTAAACTTGAAAATAATTCACAGTACTCTGATTATTATAAGCAATTAGACAATTTTAAAATTGCAATATGGGCCATTATTTTATGCCATAATATAAAAGTAACAAAACTAACTTCATTAAATAAAACATATAATACTTTATCTCTGAAAAGAGAATCAAAGCATATTTGATATGTTTGGCTTAATTAAAAAAAAGTACAGAATCATTCAAAATCCCTCATTGACAGGGGGATAAAATTATAAATATTGCTGTAAATATTTGCTGGGCCACAAAAAAGTCCAGAGCTGTGTTATGAAACAGACTAGCAAACTCAGAAAAATGAGAACTCACTTGGGTGCTATTTCCTACAAAAAGGAAAGTGTTTAACAATGACGAGAGCTTTGGCTATTCTTAGGTATCTGTGTACACAGACTAGTAGGGCATTTATAACAGATGTGTGTTTCCCCAAAAGAATAATAGATTCCTCGTATCTTACGTTGAACCTAAGAATTCTGGGTGAGGGAAAGGAGTTTATTCAAAAACAGTTTTCAGTAAAGTAAAACAGAATGTCAGAAAAAGATTTTTAAATCATATTGACTTCCTTGAGAAACCAATATAAATAAAACAAATCTGAAGTTAGTCTACATTAAAACTACACTTGGGTATAGTTTTAGGATATTCCTTTGTTTCTTCCTCTCTTTCTTGGCCTTTAAAATATGAACTTTCCTCCGATGCCAACAAACAACAATGATCATGTGATAAGCATGATTAGGATATACTTGTTTTTAAAAAGATAGTCAGCAGAGAACATTTCTGAGCAATATAATCAATATTTTTGCTATGTGTAGATTTTCCTGGAAAAATGAACTCAAAGATCTTACTTCAGATTTAGAAACTCAATTTTACAGGGAAAAGCAGAATTAAAAAAAAAAAGCAAGCTAGGAAGTACTCACCTCTTCACGTAATTTTAGCAACTGCAACATGAATGCACCAAAAAAAAAAAAGATAAAAAGGAAAGAAATGGCAGGAAAGAAAGATCAGTTGTGTGACAGGATACAGAATTAACATTGACAATTTATCTGTTTACATGTTTAGCATTTAAAAATCACAGACAAACACATTAAAAGAACCTAAACATAGACTACATGCAGAGTTTTTTGAACGAATAAAGATCACTTTCTCACACTGTCACATTAAACAAAGAGAATAGTGTGAAATTCTCTTTTAAAGTACATCTAAGAC